CTGCTGGGGGGGGCAAGGGGGACAGAGACAGCCATGGGGTCCCCCTTCTGGGCAGGGGAGGCCTAACAGGGTCATGTGGCTGGGGTAAAGTGTTCCAGCTAGGTGGTATAAGACAGGGTCCAGGGTGTCCTAGCTGATCACTGGGGGTCCAGGGGGGGTCCTACAGTCCCCGGGCCCTCACCGGAGTCAGGGAGGGAGGCCGAGCGCAGCCCTGTCTCCTTCTGCAGCTGGATCTCTTTTAGTGCAAATATTGATGTCGCTGCAGGGGAAGAGACATCAGAGGTTGAAACCGTGACTCCCACCCCACATCTGTTACACCCCGACTTCAGCCAAGCCCTGCCCCTGCCTGAAACCCCACCCCTTAACCCCACGCCACACCCCTTCCCCTTTAAACCCTGCTTCTGCGGCCACCAGGCCATGCCTTCTGGTCATCCTACCCCCAAGGCCTACATCCCCCAGGCTGAAACCCAACCCACTATCCTAGGCCCTGGCCCCAGGCCTTTCTACCCCCATTAACCTCCCCCCCAGGCCTACATCCTGCCTCTCCCCTAGCCCAGACCCCACCATAGGCCCCCACATGCTGCCCTAGGCTGTACCCCCCCCCCCCCGCCCCCCCCCCCCCCCCCCCCCGCCCCCCACTCACTGTCTGGGAGCTTGGTGACACGCTCGCCCAGGCTCTGGAAGAAGGGGTGCCGCATAGCATCATCGGCCGAGACCCGCTTGCGCCCCTCAAACTGCAAGACATAACCCCACCCCAGCCATCAGGAGCCAAGAAAGGTGTCCCTTTGAAGAAGCAGGGCCAGGCAGGATCTCACACAACCCACCGGACAGGATCAGAGGCCAGAGTCTACTCCCCCTTGTTCTAGCCCTTACAGGAGGGCCTATGGGTGTTGATACAGCCATGTGAGGTGGGGAGCCAGCAGGCCCAGGTCCAAGCCCTGGCCTCTGGGGTCAAAGGAGCAGAGCCAGGTCATTGGGGACACCCACTTACTGAGGGATGGGGGAAAAGGGGGCAGCCCCCACACCCCTGATGGCAGGGGCAGACCAATGGGCTTGCTGGAAGTAGGGGGAGCCAAGGTCAAGTCCTATCCTCTGGGAGACAAGCCTCCCCCCCCAGCCCCTCCCACTCACCTGCAGCAGCTTCCCCAGCAAGTCAGCCCCGTCACTGTCCAGCCTTGGGGGGTAGAGGGCAGAGCGCAAAGGGCAGGAGAGAAAGGTAAGACTACCACCCCTGCTGTCATCTTTCTGCCCCCCTCCCCTCCCCCCCTACTCCCAGAGATAGGGTTCTACCTCACAATAAGTGCGCCACCTCCTGGCCCCACCCCTTTCCTCCCAGCCCCCTGGCTCTGCTCCCACTCACCGGGGGGAGTGGCTGAGCAGGGCTTCTGGGCGGTACTTGGGGTAATTGTAGGCTCTGAACTCCTCATTGGACAGGATGCCTGGCCATGTCTCCTCCGTGGGGGTCCCTGGGAGGAAAGGGTCAGAGGGAGGGAACAACCCCCCCCACTATACTCCCCCTGCCCCTCCCTTCTGTGCTCTCACAATGCCCCGCTTCCAATTCCCCCAGCCCCTACCTCCACAACCCAGATTCCCTCAGCTCCCCAACTCTGCGCTCCACAGCCCCCACAATTCCCTACCCCCTGCCATCCTGCAGTACCGAGCATTCGGAAGATGAAGTGCAGCTGCTCCTCAACAGTGGAGCCAGGAAAGAGCGGGCGGCCTGTGGACATCTCATAGAAGATGCAGCCCACACCCCTGTGGGACACTGGGGTCAGGGCACACTGTGGGGACCCAGGCATCTGGGATGCAGAGACACACCCACAGAGCACCAGATATCCAGGCCATATGTGCCCACGCAGGACACAGGTGTCTGAGATGCACTCCCCACACCCCAGGGGAACCAAGGCATCTGGGACATACCCTGGCCCCCACCCCCACTGCAGGACACACACCATACATCCATGTAGGATCCAGGATACGCCTTCAAATACCCACCCACACACACAGGACCCAGGCATTCAGAAGGCAGAGGCATGCACATGAAGGACCCAGGTACACCCACACATATACATGTGCATATGTACACAGAGACAGATGCAACATGCTACATGGAACCCAAAAGCATTTATACACGTGCCCGGGGGCACTCCAATTAGAGTGGCTCTGAGAGCTTTAGTTAAAGCATCCCTGTTGCCATTTTTCAGCGCAGGGACACTGATACAAGGTGGTGCTAGAGTTTGCTGGAGCGTGGTAATTCACTGAGTCTGCTCCAATGCATTGTAATTTCAACATGTCAGAGCAGCCTTGCTGCATGTGTATATGCACCCCACCCCATCGCAGCCCACCGCTCCCCCAGTCTCTTACTAAGGAAGCCAGGCCCCATGTTCCTGGGGGAGAGGGGTGGTCTGTGCCCTAGCCCCCAGCCCAGAGGCCAGACAGCAGGGGTGGGCAATTATTTCAGGCGGAGGGTCACTTGATGGCTTGCCAAAACTCAGCAAGGGCCGCAGGACAGGCAGCCAGGGGCAGATAAATATTAATTTTCTAAATTTTTTAGGGGCCCCATGGGCCAGACAGAATGGCTTGGTGGGCCACATTTTGCCCACCCCTGACTTAGAAGCTTTGTATGAAGGTAGTATTCTAGCGACAGTTATCCTTTACGATCCTGGCCTACAGGGCAGTCACCACCCGCCCATGTTAGTCCAATACTGGGTGGGGGTGGTTCTTGAGGAACTGGGGGGGGATTATGGACAGTCCAGGGGGAAAATGGGGTCTCCAGGAGGCTGTGGGGGAAACCTTAAATACAGCAGCTATGGGTTGCAGGGGGTGGGGTGTCCCAGAGGGGTCTTTGGAGACTATAGTGGGGCAGGATCAGGTAGAGTCTGTGGGGATAAGCAGGGTTCCCTGAGGATCTATAGGGAGGCATCTGAGAGGAACCTTTGGTGGGGGGCAGTGAGGATTGTGAAGGTCCGCAGATGTT